CCCAACTTATTACGGAGGTCCTCATAAAGTTTTTTTAAAAAAAAATTTGGAGTGCTCAGGGGCGCCAAATCTATTGAATATTACACACAAAAATTCGAGGAATTTGGTAATTCCTAAAAAAAGGTTTGTAAATGCATAAATAAGCGTTAAAAATAGTGTGAGTATACGTGGTGGTTCCCCAACTAATTACTTATGTCCTTATTAAGATTTTTATGAAAAAAAAGTTTGGGTGCCCAGGGAGTTAGATCTATGGGCTAACACAAGAAAAATAGAGGAATTTGGGTAATTCCTAAAAAAAGGTATGTGAATGCGGAAATAGGTGTTAAAAATGGTGTGAATATACGTGGTCATTCCCCAACTCATTACGAAGGTCCTCATAAAGTTTTTTGAGAAAAAAATGTTGGGTTGGGGCGCCAAATTCATGGGCTAATACACACGAAAAATAGAGAAATTTGGGTAATAGCTAAAAACAAGGTCTCTAAATGCGGAAATAAGCGTTAAAAATGGTGTGAGTATATGTGGTGGTTTCCATCTAATTACAGAGGTCCTCATAGAGTTTTTTGAGAAATTTTTTTTAGGTGCTTCGGGGCTCCAGATCCATGGGTTAATATACACGAAAAATTGAGAAATTCGGGTAATTCCTAAAAAAGAGTATGTAAATGCAGAAATATGCGTTAAAAATTGTGTGAGTATACGTGGTGGTTCCCCAACTCATTACGGAGGTCCTAATAAAGTTTTTTGAGAAAAAAGTTTTAGGTGCTCCGGGGCACTTGATCCATGACATACGAAAAATCGAGGTATTTGGATAGTTCCTAAAAAAGGTTTTGTAAATGCGGAAATAAGCTTTAAAAAATGGTGTGAGTATACGTGGTGGTTCTCCAACTCATTATGAAGGTCCTCATAAAGTTTTTTGAGCAGAAAAATTTGGGTGCTCCGGGGCGCCAGATTCATGAGCACACACAAAAAAATTGAAGAATTTGGATATTTCCTTAAAATGGTCTGTAAATGCGGAAACAGGCGTTAGAAATAGTGTGAGTATATGTGGTGGTTCCCTAACTCATTACAGAGGTTCTCATAAAGTTTTTTAAGATAAATATTTTGAGTGCTCCGGGGCGCCAAATCCATGGGCTAATACACATGAAAAGTCGAGGATTTTGGCAAGTTTCTAAAAAAGTGTCTGTAAATGCAGAAATATGCGTTAAAAATATGGTGTGAGTATACGTGGTGATTCCCCAACTCATTACGGAGGACCTCATAAAGTTTTTGTAGGAAAAATTTTTGGGTGCTCCGGAGCACCAAATTCATGGGCTAAATAAATTGACTTCGTCTCTTTTTCATTAAATAAATTTAAAAAAATACCTCATTCATCCTTATTAATTCACCGAGATGTGTACATATATAAATTATAATATAAGTAATTTAGTATATGTATTCATTAATTTAGTATACGTGTATAAGTAATTTAGTATATGCATGGATTAATTTAGTATACGTATATAAGTAATTTAGTATATGTATTGAGTAAGAGTTTCACCTATAATACTATTCCAATCATGCTATTAGCTAATTAATTTTTTTTATCGATGTTAAAGCATGCAATTTTTTATGATGTTATGAAGTTCAAAAAAGAATTATATATATACAATTTGTATCTATTCTTACGATATTGACTAATGTCTACTTTAATTTAATGAATTTCAATAAACACATGTAATTCACATCCTTTAGTGCAAGTGGAGAATCTGATTTGATAATAATAAATACTTTATAAGAATTTCAGTACGCACAATGATATATTTTCCTTTTCAAGATAGTTTTTTGATATATTTATATAATGCAATTGAGATTTACAATGCACAAATAAACTCTTGAATTATTTTATTGATTTCCTTAATTTATTTTGATATAATAGATTTATTCTAAATACAAGACATTTGGAATTAAATTTAAAATTAAATTAAAAAAAGAAAAGGAAAAATAAATAAATAAAATCAATAGAGTAAAAAGAGTAAAGCAATCAAAAGAAGAAGAAGTTTAAATGTAAGGCATTTTTTAAAAATAAAATAAAATTACATGTATTAATTTAGTTTAAATATAAAGCAAAGAAAACAAAAAAATGTTTATTTAAAATTAAAAAGAAAAGAAAAAATATAAATAAATTGAAAATAAATAAAATAAAAATTTATACACTCGACACATGTATATCACTATTGATACTTAAATTGGGTCTTGGCTCCACGTCAGCATAAAATGAGTATGAAAACTAGTAATAAATTAGTCCAGAGAGGGGTGGGGGGTGGGGGTGAGGTAATATGATCCTACTTAAGTTTAAATATGTTGTTGAAATTTTGAATATAATTCGGGATGGTACTTGTGTTTTATCCCTCCTAAATAATTTATTTTTTTAATATGTAACTAATGTTTCTTAAAATTATTTTATATTTAATAATTAAAATATGATAAAATTAAGTAAGTACATTAAAATATTTCCCTTTGTAACTTGAAATTTCAAATTTAACTAATTTTATTGAGTGCATATCCTTTTTAAGTATTTGATAAAATTACTTTTATCATTATATTTTTTATTCATGCTACTTTCCATATACAATATGGTAAGAACTTTAATTTATTTTAAAATTTTCTTTTTGTATTAACTAATGTTTCTTCAAATTATATTTATATTTGATAATTAAAATATGATAAAATTAAGTAAGTATATTAAAATATTTTCCTTTTTAACTAGAAGTTTCAAATTTCACTAATTTTATTGAGTGCATATCATCTTTAAGTATATGATAATTTAATTTTTTTATAGTTAGATTCTTATTTATGCTACTTTCCATATATAATATGGTAAGAAATCTAATTTATTTATATTGGGGGGAGAACTTATGTGTATAAATAGCATGGTAATATATCATTTACAAGTACCATTTCTTGAAATTAGTTCACCAACAAAGTTTATGTTATTCTAGTAATGGAGGGTAATAAGACTGTCGGACATCACAAAATTCCCATGGAAAAAATAGAAAACGAAGCTGCTCGATATGCCTCATTCTTAGAACATCGATTGAGTTTATACAAGTTGGCTGGTGATCTCGTTCAACAACATGATGTTGATATAGGAATAGTTCTTTCTTCTCCGACGAATAAGCCTTACTCATTTTTTCATCCAACTGTTGAAGTAGTTTCTCAGCGTTTGATGAAACCAAATGTAGAATTAGGTGACACTACAAAACTTGCTGCAACATGTGTTCGAAACAATGTGAATGAAATAGAATATAAACTAACAGAGTTAAAAATTAGGGAAGATTTTGCAAGCAAGCAAAGCGTTATACTTGACCAAGCCAAAGAGATGAGAGAAATTGGTTGGTGGGAGGATGTAGAAAAACTCAAAACTGATGAGGTGACTCAGTTTGAAGCTTGGCTAGATGTTGCTGATTTTAACATGAAAAATCGTTTGAAACAATTGGAAAATGAAGTTGCATCTAATGCTTCATAAGCAGATTCATCTCTACATTAGTTTTTGAAATTTTATTATTTGTTCTGCTTTTATTTTTTAATTAATTTTATATTCTTTTATATTGATGATGCTAGCTATTACATGTACTCTACAATGATATTTGTTATAAAATATTATTTCTATTTATATTAATATATTTTTTCTCTTACATGTTTGGTCTCATTTTTTTTATGTTTTGTTTTATAAGTATTTCAGGTAAAGTATATTACTCAATTTATTGTGTTTTTGCCTTTTTTGCGATATAAAATTTAAAAAAAAGTTATATGTTTAATTTTTACCGTCACTCATTGATAATTTTTTTTACATTTATTTAATACTTAAAATATATAAATAAAAAAATTACATTAAACATTAGACTTTTGAAGAATACATGGTCAATCATGTAAGAGAAAAAATATATTATTTTAATGAAAATAATATTATTTCATAATAAATATCATTGTAGAGTACATGTAACAACATCATCAATATAAAATTAAAAAGTTTGTAAAATAAGTTGAACCAATAATAGAATTTAAAAAAAATTTAATGTAGAGATAAATCTATTTATGAAGCATTAGATGCAATTTTATTTTTCAAATGTTCCCGAAGATATTTCATGTTAAAATCGGTAATATTTAATCAAGCTTCAAAATTAATTAACTCATTAGTCTTGAGTTGATAAATATCCTCCCACCCACCAATTTCTTTCAATGTTTCACTTGATCAAGTATAATTGTTTGATTGCTTGCAACATCTTCTCTAATTTTAAACTCTGCAGATTAATATTCGATTTCATTCACCTTGTTTCGAACATGTGTTGCAACAAATTGTGTAGTGTCATTTAATTCTATATTTGGATTAAAAAAACGGTGAGCAATTGCTTCAGTAGTTGGATGAAAAAATGAATAAGGTTTATTCGTTGGAGAAGAAAGAACTATTCCTTTGTCAACATTGTGTTGTTGAGTGAGTTCACCAACCACTTTATATAAACTCAATCGGTGTTTCAAAAAGGAGGCATATCGAGCGGCTTTGTTTTATATTGTTTCATGAAATTTTTTTGACGTCCGACAATATTCTTACCCTTCATTACTAGAATAAAATAAACTTTGTTGATAAACTAATTACATGAAATAATACTTATAAGAGATAGAATACCATGATATTTATACACATTTATTCTTCCCCCAATATAGATTAATTAAATCTCTCACCTTATTCTTCCTTTCTTGATAGTGCATCTGCTATTCTATTATCAGTTAGGGTTGGGCATAATATGGTTAAAATCGAAAAAACCAATCGAACCGAATATTTTTAATTTCGGTTTCTTCGATTGATTTCGATTTCGATTTCAAAATTCAATATTTCATTTTTTCGGTTCAATTTTAAATTTTTTAGCTGAAGAAAATCGATTAACCGTAATAAACGAAATATATATTTCAATATATATATATATATATATATATATTCTTTAGTCTTTACACCCTATTAACTAATCACTATTCAACCCATGCCCCATAGAGGACAGAAATCCTAAACTTAAATCCCTAACGCCCCACGCAGCTCATCTCTCTAGTCTCAACTCTCGTCAGTCACTCTCAGGCCAGCCGGCGCTGCCGCTCAGTTCTCGCTGAGTGCTCGCAGGCGTCGCGCAGCCCGCTACTCACTGGCCAGTGGCCAGTGGCCACTGCCCACTGCTCACGCTCGCGAGTCGCGCCTCGAAGGTACTAGTTTGTTTTCTCTGTGAATATACTGAATTACTAGTTTGTTTTAACCATTTGGTTCGTAAATTTTATTGACTCGATTAATTTGAATTTGAATTTAAATTCATCAGCGGGATAGGCTGCAGGGATACAATGTTCTCCACCTAAAAGTTATCAAGACTCAAGCTTATTTGATATTTTGTAGTGAAAATCTTAATTCCACTGCTATTTCGCAACTATTCTTTTTCATGTTCCAATTTACTCAGATTCATAATCTTTATTTTGATGCTAAATTAATAATGGAATCTAATAAACTTGTGGAAAACAACACGAGTAGCACTCTACGAGCTCAGATTAGAGTTTTTTTTATTCATTGAATGCAACTATGTGATTATTTGTGTGATCTGTGAACTGTAAATTGTAATGTACTGCGTCTTTCTGTAATTAAGTTGCAACTCTGTTGACATTTGTGTTAAATGAGTATTCATGAAGTAGTGTTGAGTCATGAGTGTCTATCATCCCTAGAATCAGTTTTGTTTGAATATTTAAGTCAATGACATGGTAAGTTGCAAGTTGAATGCTTGTCGAAATTTGAAGGCAAAAGCCAAACTGTATGGCATAGATTGCTGGAGTTTGGAGAGTATATCGTTGAGTGTTGATTGTTGTACAGTTAGTGATCATTTGAACAGCAGCACAGCCCACAGGTGACGAGGTATTGAGGTGAAAACTTACCATTTGCACAAATTTGATATTTGAACAGGTAAAATTATGCCCTTTTGAGTTTAGTGATGGCCTAATTGGGCAGGCTGCAGGTCACAACTCACAGGTGAAGTTGCAAATTATTCCTTTTCTTCTATTTATAAGGTGGCTCTGCCCCTGGACATGAAGATGCATGATATGAAGTACCCACGTATAGTGATGAGTAAACTGCATTGTATACCTCCTTCTCTTCCCTTCCTACCCCTATAGGTGGGGGTGAGAGTTCATGGTTTAAGCATAGAGAAAAGAATATGTCTACTTGCCGCAAAAGAGTCCTTTAATGCACATGCCATTTTTATATAAAAAATATAAGAGTTACACATAACTGCTCCATGAAAAAGCACAACAATAGGATGACCTTAACAAGGCTCAGACTGTGGAGTTCAATTACTACTACTCTTACCCATTTTTAGGCGTACGTATGAATACACTAACATTTTAATTTCAAGTCAAAGAACCTGCTAAATTCTACCCAAAAAAAAAACATTTCTCTAAGATTATAGGGCTAGGTTTACTTTTTGCAAGAAGGAAAGAGAAGAATTTAGAACAAAAAGAGAGAGTGTGTGCGGTCCTTAGGGTAAGTTTGTTAACAAAGACGGACAAATACACAGAAGTGTCTTCTCTCTTTCTCTCTCTCGTTCAAAAAGCCATCAAAACCATTCCTTCAGCCTCAATTTTTTTAATACTAAACCATTCTTCAAAAAAGTTCCTAAAACAAATCTTCCAAAACAGAAAAGCACACACATCAATTGTTTTCAAAACAGTGTTTTTCATATCCAAATGCCATATTTATCTATCTTTCAAATCTAAAAAACAAAAAAAAGGATAGTGGCACATGCATCACATGCATATACCAATATATACTCTTCTAGGAGAAGGGGGATGAAAGTAACTACCTTTATCTTGATGGCACAAGACCCTTGACGAAAAATCTGTGGAAGGTCCTTGTAGTTGATACCAAACTGCTGAAAGAGTAATTCAGTTTGCTCCTGCTTTTGTGTCCCCTGCTTTTGTCGAACACTATTAAGCCTCAAGTCTAGGGTTCTTTGAGTCTAACCATAAATTTGAAAAATGATGTGTTTAAATGCCTTCAAAAGTAAGTAGATCCAAAATATAAAAATGCAGTTAATCCTACCATGGCCCAAGCTATTATTGCAAAAATTGGTGAATACAACCATCAATCATTAAAAATTTCATCTTTGGAGCAAAACCAAGCAAGATGAAAAAGTAATGAGGGTAGAATTTTTTTTCCCCTTAGAGCACCGTTTTGATACAAGAAGAGTACCTAAGGGAAAGAAGATATAAACAACTAGGGAGGTCATAATTCATCTATAACGATATTGTAAGGAGCACATCACATATATGAGAATTGACTGATTGAAAGCATATTAGACAAGGCACACTCGAAATTCCGAACAGAAGTGGAAAAAGATTTAAAGATTGGAAAATGCTTTTGTACATTCTTTGAGTACAGATGGAGCACCCATAGCCTAGTAGTCAATGAAGTGGATTGAGAACCATGAGGTCTGAGGTTCAAATCCCAGTATATACAAAAACACTAGGTGATTTCTTCACATCTGTCCTAGGCTCCTAGCCTTGGTGGGCAGAGTTAATTGGCTAGTGGGAGGTGACAGGTATCCCGTGGAATAGTCGAGGTGCATGCAAGCTGTTCCAAGGCACCAGGGTTATCAAAACAAAAAGTACAGATAGAGAAAAAGATATATATCTTGTGACTTGACCTATAACTTAGAATCTTCAGTCCAATCCAAAATTTGGCCCCAAGTTTACCATTAGTTAGCTTCAAGTTATGTGGTTCATCTAAATCATATATAGCAAGAGTAAAATTTGGAAAAATCAGCTTCATGATCTAAGTAACACTTCTCAATCTGTGCAGTGCAGGTATTGACATTTTTGAAAGGAGTTCAACACATAAATTCCAGGTAACAAACTGTAGACGAGTAATCCATAGGAGATCATAGATATGTATGCAGAGCTATCACTCCAGAAACCTTTGCTGGGAGCTTTAATACTTTTTTCTTCACATAATAGTCATTTTCTAAGACCTTCTCTAATAAGCATCTTGCTTTGTGCAAATGAAGTCACTAAATGCATATAACTGCGTACCTTCTGTAGCTACTAGCATATGAAAACCACCTGCTACTATATCTGGCAAGTTTGGCCTGGACCAGGACTGACACACTTGGCCTCTGGCCCAGGGAGATGGTCTGGTTCACGAACCGGACCCTTTCTTAAGAGGCCGGTCTGGGCCAGTAAATTCTGAAGAGTGGTGGACCTGACACCAACTCCTGATTCCTAACCACTATGTGATCTGGTAGTGGACCAATCCGAGCTTCTTCTTTTTAACTTCATTCTACTTTTCTTCTTATGATTTTTAACATTATATTTATTTAGTATTAACTAAAATTTGAAATCGAAAAAGAATAACATTGAAGAAAAAAACCGTAAATACGCATGTCATATTATTGAGGAAACAATTCAATTTTTTATTCTCAAACTTGAGTTAATTTCAGCACCTTAAGAATCTCTTTCGCCTCCTTTTCTAACTTTCCAGAAAACACCAGCTTCCACAAACAAGTATTGTATTGATTGCTTATATGACCTGTAAGAAGAACCAATATCCTTTAGCATCAGATTTTAAGAACTCAACTCCTCCAGTAACAATTAATTGGAAATATTCAATACGAGAACTCACATTCTGTTTGTCTCCATAGAAGATATGCCTGAAGAACCTCCATTGATGTAGATAACTCGTGAATGGAATGATGGAGGCACACTTACCTCTTTTTGAGAAAAGAACTATTTCCATTTGGTTACATATGTGGATGAGAAGAAATACACAATAATGGATAGGATTTTGCTGCACGTTGAAATTTCTGAGCAACTTCGTCTCAAATGAAGAAACTAGGATTATTTTACATCTCTCTTTTCTTTGTCTTCTTGACTAATTCAAGTGGGATATTTTGTATCTTATAATCCATTTTACTCAACTCCACATAAGTATCTTGAAAACGAAAACATATATATGGTGGTCATCTTAGTGAGAAGACAAATGTGTGGACAGCCAAGCTGACCACGCCTTAAGGTTGTCCTGGTGCCTTCTTAAGAAAAGTTTGTGATCAATCTCTATATTTCCCTAATACTGCTTACTATGCATTTCCTCAAGCCAGCTACCACAAGGGCCTATAGGCTATAGCGATTTGGAGCTGATTTTCCTTCTCATTAACAAAATCTCAAAAATGATTAACAAAAAACAAGAAATATATAACCTAGGTCAACCCCCAAAGCTAGCTCATAAGGGAAGGATTGATCAAGATCATATTAGGAGACCAAATTCCTTAATGCCCACCGATATGGGACTCAACACCCCCGCACGTCAAGGACTGGACATCGGAGAGTGGACAATATAAGAGGGGGGTCCAACATCGAAACAATGAATGGGTTAGACCTAACTATGACACCATGATAAAGTAATGGACCTTGGTTCTAACTCAACCCCAAAAGCTAGCTCATGAGGGGAGGATTGCCAAAGTCCATATAAGCAAACCATCAATCCATTCCCCGATCAATGTTGCACACTTGCACTCTAACCCACTTTAACAAAAACATGCTAAAGAAGGGTAATTGAAGGACAGTTCAAACTGGTATAGACATGGGCGGTTAAGAAAGAGATAAAAAGTTGATAAACTATCCAAGAGGCAGCAGCATCCCTGAGCATAATTGAATTAGCTTCACTGTTAGAGACTGGTTATATAATATACAGTTCCTCAGCAATCAGCACTAGGACAATGTAACAGTCAAGTTTAAAATAATGACAGATTGTTGGTGTCAGGAATCCAAAAAAAATTGCTTAGATGATCTAAAATCAAAGACAAATGGGACATGATCTAGCAAACCAACAGCTGAGGAAGAGATTTGTATATTGTAGTTAACAGAAAAGATGATTCTAGTTGAATCACGTACAAAGTTATCATGCAATCGTTCAAAGAGTGTTCAAGAAGCATAAGACAAGAAAAGTAAACAAGTATTGTTTTATCGCTACTCAAACAAGAGTCAATGCAAGAACAATAATTTTGTATCATACCAGCGATATATGAATACTAACAAGACAAAGTGCATCATTCAAATTACTCGTCCGAAGAGCCAAAAATAATTATTGATAAACACTGATATCAAATTCTTGAGATATGAAATAGGTTACAAACCTTGCTCGCCTCTGGTAAAATGTGATTTCCTTCTTCAAAACGAAACTACATAAATCGTTGTACCACATTGTCAAGCTTTTCAAGGGGGAAGAAAAAGGGTATAACTGTCTAATAGTAAGAAACGCATCATACCTGTACTCATCAGTAAATCCATACGCAAATATAACATCAGAGAAGTTCTCTAATACCTTAATAGCACAAGCATTCATCAAGTTCAAGGCTTTGTCATCATTCGGCTTCTCAAATCCATGCTTCTCCGAGAAACTAAACATATACAATGCAAATTAGAAAATCAAATACCACAAAACCCAAAATGGAGCAAGAGTATATTCACAAGCTACCAACACCAATTGACAAGAACTAGCACTTAACCTGAACACAGACCTATACTTCAATAGAATTTTAACTGGATATCTCTAGATTTCAACACCTTTACCTTAATTTGCAGAAAGATAACAAGACAAAAAATAAAGGTACATGCAAACCGTAAACATTTAAACATCTCATTACCTGCCAAAGTCGCGGCCATCAATTTGAACAACAATGATATTTGGGTACATTACTTCGTCTTCCACCTCAAAACATTACACGTACTCATACTAGTTGTTCGCCATTCCCAAATGCCGCTACAACCTGATTGAAACAAAAGATTTATGTGAAGTTATAAATGTCACAAAAACCTATTTTTTCTCATTGGAATTTCAACAAACCTGTAATCGATTCAATTTAATACTATCACAATTAATAATATTCAATAACGAATCATGATTTTTTTAAAAAAATTTGAAGATGCCCAAGATGGGCCTTTTATTAATGATAAACAAAAAAAACAAATCAAAAAAGTACAAAGGCTTGAGCCCAAAAGTGGCCCAAACCCGGAAAAGATATCCTAAAACAGAAAAAAGAAAATCTCTTCAGCTCCCCCTACAATTTCCAACAAAATCGTGGAGCTCCAGTTGTGCGCCGGCGATGTGAACGCCCAACATAAAAAACACCTCCGATCCTCAGTAGCACTACAAACACTTCCATGTTCGGCTTGTAATCATCTGGATGTCAAAACTTCTCACTGACATCATGATTCAACACCAACGAAGACTTCTTCAACATGAATGTGACATAGCTAGACTTAAAACAAAAGGTGTGAGTCGATTTGAATCCTTCCCCATACCTTTCTCATTTTCCCATTATTTCAACTTACAAATTTTCCTCTCAACAGAATGAATCCCAAAGGAGTTGGTACCACTGTTAAAGAGGAAAAAGTGTTCAGTTGTCAAAACAGGTATTGAGAAATCTGTTATTGAAAGTATCCTATGCTTCCTCAGTTGTTTGTTGTATGTTTAGCTTCCTTGATTCAGCTCGCCTGTTGTTTACTCCTGTAGCTTGTACCCAGTATTTTGAACTCTTTTTATTCTTAGATATGGCATGCTGTTTTTTTCCAATTGAATAATTGTTTTTGCTTGCTGTGGAAATTCTTGCATAATATAAAATTGGTGTATATGTGTGCCTGCAAAATCAAAAGCATAATTAGTGAAAAAATCTGCTAAATATGTTCCCCTCCCGATATGTATGCACCACCTCCACCTCCCTATTCATCATCAGGTCCTTTATATGGCTTTTATCTCGAGTTATCAACCAAGGGACCTCCCATATTCCATTTATAACTTTTTGAGCCATTAATGAATCTGTTTCAATAATCAAAGGTACTAGATTGTGTTGTAAGCAATAGTCTATACCAATTCTAATCGCCTTAACTTCGTCAGCTTCAATCACAGAGACCTCCTCTAGTAACCTAGTTTCAGCATATATCATCTCCCCTTCTTCATTCCTGGTACAGAAGACTATTGATCCAGACCCAAACCTCACTGAACCATCCCTGTTCTTATTCTTATATTATTATTAAATAAATTGTATTTAGCAAATAAATTTCACTCAAAGAAGTTGCCTTATAAATCTCATTTTGTCAAATGAGCTTTTATAAATGGAAAAATCACCCCCCCCCCCAATATATATTTAAGGGGAAATATTACTGATTTTAAATCTACTTTTAAAATATTATTGTTTATAACATTTTAATTGCGGGTTATAACAGATCACTTTTTATTTATAAATCAATTTAATTTCACTTTATTAAATAATTAGTCTTCTATAATTAAATTTTTATTATTAAGTGATATAAATAAAGAATCAATCATAATTATCTCTTACACATTTTTAGGGATTTTACCTTGATGCTTGTTCTTTTTTTACTTCTTTTTTTATTGTCTTCTACAATTATATTTTTATTATTAAGTGATATAAATAAAGAATCAATCATAATTATCTCTTACACATTTTTAGGGATTTTACCTTGATGCTTGTTCTTTTTTTACTTCTTTTTTTATTGTCTTCTACAATTATATTTTTATTATTAAGTGATATAAATAAAGAATCAATCATAATTATCTCTTACACATTTTTAGGGATTTTACCTTGATGCTTGTTCTTTTTTTACTTCTTTTTTTATTGTCTTCTACAATTATATTTTTATTATTAAGTGATATAAATAAAGAATCAATCATAATTATCTCTTACACATTTTTAGGGATTTTACCTTGATGCTTGTTCTTTTTTTACTTCTTTTTTTATTGTCTTCTACAATTATATTTTTATTATTAAGTGATATAAATAAAGAATCAATCATAATTATCTCTTACACATTTTTAGGGATTTTACCTTGATGCTTGTTCTTTTTTTACTTCTTTTTTTATTGTCTTCTACAATTATATTTTTATTATTAAGTGATATAAATAAAGAATCAACCATAGAAAAATATTTTCTCTTTCACCTGCTCTCTCATCTCTTGTAGAAACTGTTTCTACATCTCAATATCACCCGAAAATCTTCATTCTACAATCAAAAGAAAGGCCAAATTCACTATAATAAGAATTAAGTTTTTAGGATTTTTGATAAAACATGTCGATTAAACTTGAGCATACTCCTAGAAAGAACCTCATATTAGTAAAAGTGAGTTCTACTGTTGAAATCAAGGCTCCGACCTTTAACATATTGACTCAAACGCCGTTGCCAAACAAGAATGCAAGTCCGACAAGAAAAGTTGTTACCTTTCAAAGAAGAAACAAATTCCGGGAAAGGAGAAGAAAAGTGAAACAAAGAACATGCTTTGGATACCAACAATTATCCTACACCAAAACCACGAAAATCAAATTTGAAATAGTTGATTGCAGCTTAGACTTTTAATAGTTATAGGTCTTTTTTAATTTTTGGATGAAATATATTTGTTTTTGCTACAGTTTTTTACAATAATACAATATGCAGTGTTTTACATTGTCATATTTATTCTTTTAGTAAGTGCTCCAGTTAGATACCAACTTTGTACATCTTTATTTTAAATTTGTGAAAAATTTCAAGTTAGATACCAAGTGTATACAATTTGGATATCAGCATTGGCTAGATTTTTATTGGACTTTAGTATTAAAAACACCTCATAAACATAATACACTATAGTTGTATACATTGTTACAATTAACTAGTTTTGTCAAAAAAATGAATTACATATTGTTTCGTATAATTTCGGGATACCAGCTCTATACAAACTGCATACAAATTGGATACAACATTAACTAGTTTTAGTTTGGATATCAGTTTGAAACCAAATGAACACCAATTAAAATCACATGAAATAGTTTTATGTTGGCTTACATTGTTTCTCATTGATCTCCAAGTTGAAAAATTAAGAGTGGCATTAAATTGGTATTCAATTTGTATATAATTGGTATCCATTTTGTAATATATATAATTGGTATTTTTAACTTGAAAATTTAAGACAAAAAACTAAAAACTAAAAGATGTATGAAGTTGGTATCCACCTTGTATAAATATTGTAAAATGAATTTGAAAATGTAAAATAGTGACCATTATATATTGTATCCACCTCAATTACATCTTGTTTTATGTCCTTTTTTTTCAAGTGGGACACCAACTGAATACCAAATGAATATCAATTGTAAATTACATTAATTAGTATCAATGAAAATTCAGTTGCATACCAAATGTACACCAATTGCATACCGGCAATACTTAATAAACTACTCACCATTTATTTGAAAAATAATGAGTACATTGTCACAATTAAAACAAAACATAAGTTTAAAACACAAAATAAAATAAAACATGATTTTGTCACAACTATAAATTATGATTTTTTTGGTGCAGGGTAATTTGAACATGTCCTCCTGTTGTGGCCCTCTCGATGACATGTATTGCATGTAACTTTGGACCTTTTGAATTTCACATCAGCAAAACCCTTTCAGCGTTCAAGTTACGGTCTTCCTACAGTTCTTTTTGAACAAGGCGGCAACAACTTAGGCTCAAACACATAACTTGGTATCCCACGTACTCTCACATGGTAGAGGTTCAATAGGGATCGCATATACATCTTCAAAATTCTTCAAGCTATAAAAGGGAGAGCAATAATTTGTTTCATGCAGTCTTCTATACCTAAGAACTGGCATTGCATGTCTGCAAGGTATCTTATCATTTTGTACATATTTGCTTGTTCCATCAAAAATTCACTGTGTCGATATTACATGATACAAAGTAAAAATACATATGTTATACCAATATACAAATTTCAGACAACTCTTATTCACACATTTCATACCTTTTTCATGCCAAAAGTCATAAATTATTCATACTAGGATCATGCCACTAGAATACCAAAATAATTTCAACTTATAAATTTTCCTTGTCATTTCTTAAACAATATACCAAATTCATTACATTGTTATTCACAAAATACATTCTAATATAATGTCAAAAAAATCAATTCAAACCAGAAATTATACCAAAAAAACATTATCAATTGCCAAAAACTGAAAAATGACTTAGACAAATAATGAACAAATTCACTATTCATACTAAAATATAACATTATGCATTTTTTAAAAATGCCATAATTAAAATTGTTATACACAAAAAAAAATTTGAAATCAATATACAAATTTAATACAATTGTTATGCACAATTTTCATGCATAATTCATGTCAAAACTATACCTATTTCATGCCATAAGTCTTCACTTTTTTCACATCAGAATCATTCCAATATAATATCAAAATAATACCACTTCCAAATATTAATTTTCATTTATTAGATAATCAGAATATGAAATTCATTCCAATTTAATGCGAAAATCGTACCAATATGATATAACCAGTACACCAATTTCAAATAAATTTTATGTAATTTTCTTAACTAGAAACATAAAAAAAAATGAATGTTCATATCAAAATCTAAACTAATTTCAAACAAATTTTATGTATTTTCAAAATATAAAATTTTATAAAATTTTCAAAAAGTCATAATAAAAACTATTACACACAAACAAAATTTGGAGAGAAAAAAAAGCCAGTATCATCATTGTTCATTTTTTACGTTTGGTTTGTATAATAATACAAATAAAAATTCGCAAAGAACACTTACCTGAAGGATCCCATCTACCACCATGCTTTATTAGTACTGATACAAACCGTCCATTACAAGAAAGTGAAGATTATTGAATAAAAACGAAGATGAAATAGATGAGACTGAAGACTAAAAAGAGAATTTCGAGAAGAGAGAAATGTTTGAACAAAAAATGAAAATAAATTTGTTTGAAAGAATTTTAACTGTTCAGAGCTAAGCAAGGAAAATAAATATCCCTTTTTTATGAATCTCTTATTTTTATTCCTCATCTTAATTATCATTTATTTTTCAAATTATTTACTACTACTATATTCGTTTTTACCTTATTTAATTTTCACACTAATTGATTTTTATTGCTAATTTAAATCATTTTTTTATTTTACTGAAATGTTAAAACTTGCAATTTATTATTGTTATAACCTGAAAGATAAAGAATAATATTACAACTTATAATTATTAGTCTTATATATGTCAATTATAAAAAATATTACTTTATAAATTACATTCATCATTGAGATTTTATCACTTTCACCAAGTGCACAAAACAGTTTTGGTTTTTTAGGATAGGTTGAAAATAGTCTCTTAAATATACAATAAATAATTTTGATTCTTTGACTTTGTTAAAATTAACACTTTTAGTTTTTGATAAATGATTAATAATTTATGATTGTTAGATTTGACGAAAACAATGAGGATAAATAAGAAGGTTTAACCATAGATATTAAGAAAGTACCATCAAATTCTAAATTATGCCGCATAAAAAATATATTCGAGTATTTTCTGCAAAGTCTTTGTTGTGTGTAAGGGTGGATATGATATGGTATATACCGAATTACCATATCATATTAAAATTTTTAATACCATTATTTTGGTATTATGGTATTTAATTTGGTATGACATATGGTATACATTTTAATTTTTTTTATATTCGGTACGGTATTTCATATTTAGAAATAATATACCGAAATATTGAATA